GGAATAGGTCTGAGCAAGAGAGGTAAGACCTATTGGTTGATAATACTGCATGCTGTTCTTTGGGGAATTTGGGAGGAAAGAAACAATCGGCTGTTTGAAAATAGGTCCAAAACTAAAGGTGAACTGATCAGCCACATCAACCACTACTGCAACTTGTGGGCCTCTAGTTCAGAGGAGTTTACAGGAGTTAGTATCAATGATCTCAGCAGAAACATATGTAACTTCCTGGTTTCTTCCCCTCCTACCCCACTCTCTACCAGAGCCCCTTTAGATAGAAGGGAAGGAATCTGGACTCTCAGCTTTGATGGAAGTGCTTATGGTAACCCCGGAGCTGCTGGCATTGGAGGAATTCTAAGAGATGAGAATGGCCGCACATGCTGGGTTTATAGTGGTCCGATTGGGATAGCTGACTCAACAAAGGCAGAAGTGTTAGCAACTCTAACAGGGATTCGCCTAGTCAGCAAACTGGGTATCCAAAGCTTCTCAATTGAAGGTGACTCAGCCAATACTATAAGATGGTTGGAGCAATAGGAAACTGGACTTCGGAGACTTAGTCACTTCCTATCAGAGGCAAGGGACCTCCTGGCTCCTTTGAATGTTTCTCTAACCTGGATCCCAAGGGAACTAAATGTAATGGTCTAGCAAAACTAGGAGTTATTCTAGAGACTCTGTACTGTGATTCCTGCCCTCCTGTGTAATACTCAGGGGTCTCGCCCCTCTTTTGTATTTGTACACACTCTTGTGTACCTCTCCTTTCTTCAATAAAGTTAACTTTTCTCAAAAAAAAAAAAAAAATAAAAGATACATTTCTAGTTTCTATATATGTGGCATGGATGCTTTAATGCAAGACGAAAAATTCTTTTTTCTTTTTTTTTTTTTTCAATTCTATATTGCTAGTATTGATGTTTTGTTCTTGATTTTTTTTTTTTTGTAGCTGTAAATTATGTTGCTATTTCAGAGGCTCTTGGTGTCACTCCATCAGTTTTAGCTGCGGGACTTGCTGCAGACAATGTTATCTGTGCAATATATTTTACATCGCTTTTTGCTTTAGCATCTAATATACCTCCTGAGGCCTCAAAATCAACTGAAGGTATGTGCTTCTTTTCTTGTTATTGTTTCTATTGACTGTAGATCTAAAAGTCATCTTTCAGTATTCAAGAGCTCCTTCAATCCAATATATAATCTCTGTTTTTTAAATACCGCTCCGGATCTCCTTTGGTTTTCTATGTGGTGCAACTTGTTAGTCAGATACTGGGTGCCTGAAGGTGTCTGAAAGTGTTAGCCCTTTCAACTCAAAGGCTGTGTTTTTGTCAATGGTGAAAATAGAACGAGGTATAGGGGCAATTCACTAGTTCCAGAATGCAGAAGGGAATTTAGAAATTAGTAGATTTTAAACCCATGAATTCTGCCCATTAGTGGATTCCAAAATAGTGGGGTCATTTAAATTTGGATCAATTGGACAGAGCAGAATTTAATTCTATTTTTATCCTGTGACCAATCACATCCTAAGCTTATTTTGCCTGCCTTGAAATTGTTGTTTGCCATCTGTTTAGATCTTCTATTGCTAAATCCTGTTCTTGGGAACTTGTAATGTTTCGCTTTGTTGCCTAGATAGTAAGTCTGTGGCCTTTGTTCTTTTTCCTTTTAATCCTCTACTCATATTATGTGGAAGTAGCTATTTGCTAAGTATTTTTCTTTTCTAATTTGAGGGTATGGATAGACCAACCATCAATTTTGATGGCGTTAAACATAAAAGAACAAGCTCTTGAAGTATCTTATTGTATCATTATAAGAAATTTCCTCTGAAGAAAGCTTTTATTTTTGTCAGATGGTGTAATAGATGCAAAATCTGAACCTGGGAACAAGCTACCTGTGCTACAGACTGCCATTGCTATAGCAGTATCCTTTTCCATCTGCAAGACTGCCACTTATCTCACAAAACTGTTGGGAATCCAAGGAGGGAGCCTTCCATGCATAACAGCATTAGTAGTAATATTGGCAACCATATTTCCAGCTCAATTTGGCTACCTTGCACCTGCTGGTGAGGCTGTTGCTCTAATCTTGATGCAGGTAAATGCAAAACAAAATGAAAAAAGAAATCCAAGTATTTTTGTCAAAGTCAATTTATATCATGTTAGTTTCACTTTATTCTCTAATAGGGGTACGTCCTTGATTTTATGTGGCCTTATTAGGTTCTGTTGCGAAATATAGAGGGAGAAAAGAAGATTTTCTTTATTGATGATAAAAACATATTGAGCATACACCTTAAATAAGAAAAGATAGGAAAGACAAAACCTCTAGAATTTCTCTCAATCAGGGATTGACTAAATCTTTCCCTTAATCCTAGGATATGACTTTCCTAAATTTATTCAAATCCAATCTTTCCTAAATTTATTCAAATCAAATCAT